ATTTTGTCATAGAAGTGAAAGTAAACCCAGTCATTTCAGATATTTTAAGGAATAAGAATGCTTAGCCCAGACTACATGAGACCTAGTTGTGGTTGTACAATAGTAAACTCTTTGGTGTTTAGTAGTGTCTTTTAGAAGAGGGTAGTGATATTCATTGTAACGTCGACTGGACATAATAACTAGAGTTGTCTGATATTGTTATGAACTTCTTGGTGAAGTAGTGAGTCTCTGTCAACTTGAAGTGTCCCAGCGTTGAAAAGCAAAAAATAACTTAGGATGTTTAAGAAGATGCTTTTTTAGCCCGGGCTGCTGTAACAAACACTGCAGATGGTAGTTGACTTCAACAAATGTGGCTTAATAGCAGACTCATTTCTCGTAGTTCTAGAGACTAGAAAGTCCAAGATTAAAGCGCCAGCAGATTCAGTATCTGGTGGGAGCCTGCTTCCTGGCTTGCAGACTTCTTGCTGTATCTTCATGTGGAAAGGAGAGAGAAAGCATGGCCCTGGTCACTTTTTCTTTTTATAAGGACACTAATCCATCAAATGGGGACTCCACCCTTATGACCTAATTACTAAACCTAATTATTTCCCAAAGGCCCCACCTCTAAATGCCATCACGTTGGAGGTTAGGGTTTCAACATGTGAATTTGTTGGGGGGGGGGGTGGTCACAAACATTCAGTTTATAACAGTTTAATCTTTCTAAGCCACAATTTTATTATCTTTAAAAAACAAATAATAATACTACCTTTAAAGTTCTGAGATTATAACATAAAAGCTTTAGAATTTGGAACATGGTAAGCTCTCAAAAAAAGAGTTGTTGCTGGTGAGATTACTGTTACCATATTTCAGAGATGCAATAGAAGCATTTTTGATATTTGTTAAAAGACTGGGCTGGATGAACTTTTCCAGTTTCAGTAAGCAATCAGTACATTTTTAAATTTTTATTTATGCTTGCAAGCCTCAAGATAGGGATGGTGCTGTGTGAACATCCTTCAGTTCCACTTTGTGTTTTCTGTGCTGGCATCTCCAGGTCAGCCTGCCTTTCTGTTTATGTATTCTGTCTTTGCTTTTTCATTTGTTTCTGCATCCCTATTCCATGATCTCTGTTACTCTGCAATCTTTATTTCATTTTCTCCTCTCTCCCCACATTTTTGTCTCACCATTCACTGTGAAGTATGTTGAATAGTTTACAATGTACATTATTTCGCTATATTTTTAAATCCTAGCTTTACTTCAAAAGCTAATGTGGGGTGTTCTCCCATACATGACTAGGGTTACATGATTGTGTTCATTTTCCACTCCTGGTTCAGAATTTGGCTTTCCTAAGTATTGACCATGAGAGGCCTGCCTTTGTTCTTCTTCTTTTTTTTTTTTCCCCTGCTTTATTGTGGCTTGTGCTGGGCTGGTATGTAGGAATAAAGTTTTACAGTGCTAGATTCTGCTTAAAGAGGAAGATGTTTAACTTACCCACTTGTGCATATGATGATCAACTGCTTTTCCTCCAGCTGTGTTAGGGTGACCCTTTTAGCAGGTTGTTGCTCATTGGTCCCAGGGTGTAGGACGTTTTAAGGCACCAGGCCTCCCTTCACTTTTGTTTTCCCAGCCTCCATAATATAAATGGAATTGTTTTATATCTGCCAAGAGAAAACCAGTCATTTGACAGCCTGCATTTTTCTACATTTAGCAACTGGCATTTACACAATAGATTTTCATGTATAATAGCACATCCTTTAACCATAGTAATTAAAATCATCCTTGAATAGATATAGTTACACTTAATTATGGATTTTATGCTCTAGTTGATGTAAGCTTGTTACACAGTTATGTTTTTGAGACTTGTGTCTGAATGTATATGCTCAAAAGTTACCATTTTTCAGTTCCACTTAAGAAAAGGCCTATATAATTAGTTATGTATGTTTTTAATTTCTTGTAACAAAATGTTTTAACATTGCTACCATCAGTCAAGCAGCAATATAAAGAAGTCTTTGGATACTGTTTAATGTGTGTATCATGATAGGCAAAAAGCATGTCATGAATGTACATTACACTATATGAAAATTCTGATGAACTATTCTTTGTTGCCAAGAATTAACTATCTGGTAAAAGGGTGAAAAGATGAAATACCTAAGGCTGAATTTTATTTTACTTCTGTCTTTGGAGACTTTCTTATCATATAAAAACAATACACCGTGATGTCACAAATAAGGAACAAAAGTGTGTTCTCTTTTCCTCTAAATTGGTTGCAGTGCTCTCTTACGAAACAAAATTCAGTGAGATACACAAAGTGAATCAGTGTATGAAAAGATGTTCAACATCATTAGCTGTTAGGGAAATGTAAATTAAAATTTACACACCTGTTGTCATGGCTAAATAAAAAATAGTGACAATGCCACATTGTGGCAAGGATGCCAAACAACTGGATCTCTCATACATTGCTGATGGGAATGTAAAACGACAGTGCAGCAACTCTGGAACACAGTTTGGCAATTTTCCAAAAAATCTAAAGCATGCAAATGTTATACAACCCAGCAGCAGTTCCACTCTTGGGTATTTATCTCAATGAAATGAAAACTTTTTTTCACACAAAAACCTGTACATGAATGCTTATAATAACGACTTTATTTGTAATGGCCAAAAATTGGTAACAGCTCAGCTGTCCCTCAAAGGTGATTGATTAGACAAACTATAGTACATCCATACTATGGAATGCTGCTCAGCAATAAAAAGGAACAAACTGTTGATACACACAAAACCTAGATGAATCTCCAGAGAAATATGCTGATAAAAGTGAGAGTGATAAAACACAATCCCAAAAGGTTACACGCAGTATGTTTCCACTCATGTAATTTTCTCTTAAAATGACAAAAAGTTAAAAGCAAAAAATAATTTTACACTGATTGCATTTCAAATATATTTTATATATAGTAGAGTAAATAAAATACCTTATTAAGATTTTTTTAACTGACAAGTATTGAAGTGGAGAACAGATTAGTGGTTGCCAGGGATTCAGGAAAGGAATGAGGTGGGAGAAAAGTAGGTGTGGTTGTAGAAGGCAGCAGGAGGGATCCTTGTGATAATGGAAATGTTCCAAATCTTAACTAAATCAATGTTGATACTGATTGTGATGTTGCACTAGTTTCCCAATTAGGGAACCTGGGTCAGGGACACATGGGATCTAGCTGTATTATTTCTTACAACTACGTGTGCATCTACAATGATCTCAAAATAGAAAAATTAATTTTTAAAAATGTAAATATGTTATATGACTATTCTAATGAAATACTGTTTCCTCCCCACATGTGTTTCTTGTTTTTTTAGTCTAGTTTATTATTGGTTCATTCAATTCCTTTATTCTTTCAAGAAAGAATTACTATGCACTTGATATATACTTAATTTGGTCTAGTTATCAAGGTCAAATTACTTATTCTAAAAGCAAAATCATCACCAGATCATAATTGTTTTAAAGGATTCCACTTTATTTTGTTATTTAGTAGTAAGTTTTGCAGCTAATTTACATAACTCACAGTGGGCTCTTCTGTAGGTGCATTTTGGGGCCTTGCTAACATTAGCATTAAAATATTTAAAAATTTTTCCAGGGCAAAATTACTGTGGCTGTGCTTCATGGTGTAGAACTGAAGAGCCTTGATTATGTATTACATCTATGTGTAGGAATAGAAAAGATTTTTGAGTCAAATCAGGGCTCTTTGTGGGCACATGTCCTGGCAGGCCCTTGGGTTTTCCCAAGGGGTTGGCATTCTTTCCCCCAGTTCTGCTTTGGACTTGCCTGGCAACACAGAATGTGCTCTCTGGATCTTTTCAGAGCATGGAAATTTAAGCTCGAGGCAGCTCCAGAGCTGGACTTAGAGAGACAATTGTGCTTATGGTGAACAACGTGGAGAACAGTCTGTGGGTCCTGCCTGTGGTTGGGTGAAAGTCGGTCTCTGAATTAGCCAGAGCAGTGGAAGGTCTCCTGTCCTGGTCAACATCACTCTGATCCCAGGAGAATGGCTTTCCCCAAATTGTGCTTTGACATAATATTATGTATGTCAGTGTCTAACAAGTAAAATGTGGAGGTATATTCGATAGCTGGAAATGAAATTTGACAACCCTAGGACTAAAGGGGGTTTTTTCCTCTTTTTCTTTTTTTTTTAATTAGAAGAAGAGTTGGGGGTGGGGCCAAGGAGATGAAGCCAGCTTTGGCTTCAGCTACAGCGTCCCTCCTCTCTGGCAGACTCCTTGTGGACCCCTTACAGACCCCTGGTGATCCTGATTTTAATTGTGAATTGAGGTTGAGGAATAAGATTGAAACCTTTTCTGTGCTTTGAACTTTGTGGAACACAAATATATATTCCAGTTAGTTGTGTAGAGGCATTAAAGGGATTTTCCTTAGAAGGAATGTTATAAATGGGCTAGACTCAGGCTAGCTCACCAGAATTTATTTAATCTAGCATGTATCTGAACAATAATAGTTCAGATAATGGTTCATTGCAGAATGCCTCTCTTGCTATATTGTTCCTGTTGGAAGATGAATTTCTGGTTTCTCCTAGGGGGTAGTCTTTGGGGTGATCTTCGTTTGTTTTTCCTGCTTGGCTGCTATGGCCTGAGTAGACGCAGTAGCCCCAGGCTCCAAACAGTTTGGGGCAGGAGGGTAGCAGTAGTGGTCAGGGTTCTTTGGTGATTCTTTCCTGGTCCTAAACTTTAGGGGGAAATTCCTAATGGCAGTTGGCACTGTCTGTGATGTGGAAAGGAAAAGGGACTTCTGCACGCCTCAGGCCCTGGCTGGAATAGCCTCTGGGATGAAAGGAGGACAGTTTGGGATTGTCCATGTGTGGAAATGTGTAGAAACAGTGGTAGCATAAGACTGTTGGGTTCGAAGTTAGCAAAGTTAATAACAGTGGGAAATCTGATGTGCAAATGAACAATGTAGTTTTGGTCACTACTGTTATTTCTTTGTCATTGTCCACGCATTCAGTGTTAACATCTCATTTTTTTTCTCGTAGTCTCAAACCATGAATTATGTGGGACAGCTGGCTGGGCAGGTGATTGTCACCGTGAAGGAACTCTATAAGGGCATTAACCAGGCCACCCTCTCTGGGTGCATTGATGTCATTGTGGTGCAGCAGCAAGATGGCACCTATCAGTGTTCACCTTTCCACGTTCGGTTCGGGAAGCTGGGAGTCCTGAGATCCAAAGAGAAAGTGGTGAGTGTGGTGCCTAGCCTTTCCTCAAGGAGGGGAAAAATTAGACCATGCCAGTGAGTAAATTGTTAGTTATTGTGAGTTCTCTGGGCCTTTTTGTTGTTTTTTTTTTAAACCTGAATGATATTGAAAACAATATTGCTTTTGAAGTTGCTACTGAATTCAAAAAACCCTACTACAGGAAGTCTGTCCAAGGCAAAAAGAAACTGAAAATGATTATGACAGTCCTACATGTTGCAACTCAGAAGAGCAAAACAGAAGCTAGAGTTATAAATGGGGAAGTTAAGCATATTTAGAAAAAGAAAAAATTTCCTTATACAGCATTTAAAAATATTTAGGCTAATACCATCAGACTAATTATTACTGGAATAGGCTGATGTAATCAATAATACATTAAATTTGTTTGAAGGAAATTAACAGCACATTTTGTTTTGACAAAGCTGTAAAATTATATTTGTAATCTAACTTCTGTTATTGATACCATAACTTCTCCCCAAATCTGACTGAAATACTAACCCCCACAGACCATAGGCTGGTTGACTTTCATTTGTTTTAGGGAAGATTCATTCAGGAAGAAGGTATTTTTGTTGGTTTTTCTTTCTTTCTGTCTTTTTTTTATGGCCTCTTCCCTTCAGGTTATGGAATAGTTAGAAGGTTTAGTAGTTAGAGTAGTTAGAAGGTTATGTCTGATGTCAGTCAAGTTAGAAAATTGAGCTAGTAATAAAACTTTGCAGATACATTAGTAGTATTCTTCTTTCTACTCTTGCCCCATAGTACCTACTTAAATAGCGTATAGAGGTTTTGTCAAGCTTTTTAAGCACAACAAAAGATCCTCACCATTTTCCGGCACAGACCTAAAAAATATTTTAGAGCTATGGTTCCCAACCCCCAGGACGTGGACTGGTACTGGTCTGTGGCCTGTTAGGCACCATGCCGCATAGCAGGAGGTGAGCAGAGGCGATAGAGCAAAGCGTCCTCTGTATTTATAGCTCCTCCCCGTCACACACATCACCACCGCCTGAGCTCTGCCTCCTGTCAGATCAGCAGTAGCATTAGATTCTGCATTATGGTGAGTTATATAATTATTTCATTATATATTACAATGTAATAATAATAGAAATAAAGTGCATAATAAATGTAATGCACTTGAATGAAACCATCCCTCTCCCCCACCCCCAGTCTGTGGAAAAATTGTCTTCCATGAAACCAGTCCCTTGTACCAACAAGGTTGGGGACCACTGTGTTAGAGGACCACTGGCATAAGTTGAAAACATTTATTTTCAGCTTTTTGCTATTTCACATAGCTGATACTGTTCTTCTAAATAGCAGTTTCCTTCTGTTTAATTAAACTTATGTTATTTTGAGGGGAAAGAAAATGGATTCCACGAAACTAGATATTCTTTTCTTTTCCCCTCCAGGAAAAAAATGTCTCATTTCTATGTGTTACAAAATCATTTTCCACTGCAGAGCCACATTTCAGGGTGGCAGGGTTTGTGTGGTCTGGTCTCTGTTCAGAGTCACCCTTTAGAAAGCAAAAGTGGTTGCAGTTTGCTTAGTGACTTAGAAACTTTCCATTGCAAACTGTGGTGTTTAGCCACAGTTTAGCGTCTCTGGAATTTTTTCTTTCTTTCCAATAATACTAATAGTACTTTCAGACTGGATCTGTTTTGGGGGAATCAGCAGCAAACTGTTTATGCACTGAAATTTCCCATTAGTTGTGTAAGGATCTATTTGTAAAACTGTTTCTGAGGCTTTTCTTTTTGTTTTTTGGCTGGCATCTGGGTTTTTATCAACAGATTGGATCAGTCCTTTGGCCTTTCAGAATGGAACCTGCAGGCAGATATACGTAAGCACTTGTGCATCTGTAATGGTGACAGCAGATAAAACACCTTTTTCTGCATGTTGTGTGCTTCTGATTTAAGAAGTAATGCAATTTCTATGCAAAGCCACACAGTTCATTTTGTTAAATATCTTGTCAAACCCTTGAATTTTTAATGGGAGTGTGTCCGTGAGATACAGGAAAAGAGAAAAAAATTTTCCCCCACTCCCTCCCTTGGTGTCCCAAAATCCCAGAGAATATGTTTGGGAGGCAATATGGCTATTTCATTTACCAAAACACAGCTTTCCTGTGATGGTAACTGAAACCGTGTGCCCTGAGATATGCTGGCAATTTGTAGTAACTATTTGTTTTACTTTAAATCAGCCTGGGTTAGGGAAAGCTGGTCATTGATTTTCAACTGTCAAAACTTACTTGAAACAAATTTTCAAATATAGCAACACCTATGAAGTGGACTTGCAATCATGACCACTTTAAAACCACTGTTTAGGGAGATATAAACACTTTAAAACCACTGTTTAAGGAGATAAATATAAACCACTGTTTATATTTCATAACTCAGAAGTTCACATTTAGAAGGTAAACCTACACTTTATATTTTTAAATATTAATTTTGTTGACTTATCACAAAACTACTGATTTGTTTATTTATCATAGTTAAATAACCGAGTGTATTAAAACTGTTTTCACTGCTGGTGACAGAAATCTGCCTCCCGTTAGCTTAAGCAAAAAAGCTTGCATAAGTAAAGTCCACAGGCATTTGATTTAGTCAGGGTCATGTTAAGAGATTCTAAAGGTATTATCAGAATTCTCTTTTTGTTTACCCACCTCAGTTCTCCTTCCATTTGTGTGGGTTTTCTCTAAAGTTGGATGACCAGTACCTCCAGGGTCACTTCCCTTTATTCAGCCCCAGTGGAAAGAGAGCTTCCTACAGAAGTCTTGGTAATTAGTCTCCCCATCTGTCACTGTAGCTGGACATGGAATATATTGATTGGCTTGGCTTGGATAACAGCCCCACCTCTATTCCCTGAAGCCACACCTGAAATACAGGTTGAGTATCCCTTATCCAAAATGCTTGGGACCAAAAGTGTTTTGGATTTCAGTTTTCTTCTTTGGAATATTAGCACTGTACTTACTGGTTAGGCATCCCAAATCTGAAAATCCCAAATCTGAAGTGCTTCAATGAGCATTTCCTTTTGAGTATCAGTGCTCAAAAATTTTTGGATTTGGGATGCTCAACCTGTATATGGTCTAAAATAGAGGATAACTTGGTTCCCAAAAGACAGAGATGTCTTACCCAATGAATGGCAAACCAAATCAAGTATCTACTACATTCAGTATTTCTCAGATATAAGTTCCATTTCAACATCTTAGTCATATATGTTGAGCAAGATTGAGCCACAATGTAGGAAGTATGACTATATGAAAATGAATGGTTATTTTAAAAACCAGTTACTAGAATTTAATACATCAAAATGAGCATCCTCTTTACTATAATCACCTTGGTAAGCATTTATTCCAACTTGGTACTATCTTTCGAAATATTTTTGAAATCTTATTCCTTTGTTGCCTAAAGAGCTCATGGCATATTCTTTTAAGTATACTCAGTATTGGCACAATTTGAGGTTAGATTTAATTTTGGGAAAGACCAAACTCCATTCAAAGTCAAATCAAGAGAATAAAGTAAGCAGTCATATTGAACAATATCATATTTGATTTTTAAAAGTAAAGGTGGTGAAGTGTTAAGTTTTCTAAGATAGTATATAAATAATTTAGACTCTGAATTTGCTTCCTAAAGAAGCATTATTCTATTTCCCAGCTACATTGGATGAATGGCTAACCTCCTAAAATGAAAATTTTGAAGAATACTGGTTTGAATCTATTTTTTATTAAATATAAAATAACTAAATATTTTATATTTTTAACCTAACCAAAGAGTTTATTCAACAAATGATAATTTTAATCATTTTCTGTGTTCAACTTCTAGTCAAATAAATTTAAATATTTTACTTAAGTTATCCTGAGAAACTTAAAATGTGGGACTATGGAGCTAATTTAGTTTTTCCCTACCTCCTTGCCTAGGATAGAAATAGCCTAGGGAAAAAATAAGCCTTTTTACTATTTCAGTTTTCACATACATTTTTAAGTTAGTAAACATATTTCTGTGATTGTAAAAGAAGCTGCTATTGTTGCAGCTGCTTCAGAGATTTTATTTTGACTCTAGAGATGCTTAAGTAACTTCTACCAGCCTGAATTTCTCTAAAGTAAATATTCAGAGTAATATAAAATGGTTAAGGAAGGCTGGGTGAAAAGTGGTTAATATTTGTCCTATGAAAACTGATTTATGCAGCCATTTCATTTAAAAAGTAAAAGTAAAATGAATTTTTGGGTAATCATTTTATTAACTTTTCTTAAATTGGATAGGACTTTTTTATTCATTACTCTGTATTTATTAATTGCTCATTTTCTTGTTCATCTTTTTTTACAGCTTTATAGTTTTATAATATACAATAAACTGCACGTATGTAAAGTATACAGTTTAATACATTTGCACCCGTGAAATCAATTGTCTCAATTAAAAGGACTTTTTTTGTCCTGTCATCTTAGTCTCTGCCAATCTGTGACAGTTCCTCAGTCTTTGTTTTTCATGATGTTGACTGACTTTGTAGCTTTTTATTTTTTGAGTTAATTTTACTAACAGGTTGCTTATGCAGTTTTAAAAGTTGGCATATGTTTTTCACCCACCTTCTTCCCCTAATGTTAACATTTTACATGGCCATCCTACAATGATCAGAACCAGGAAATTAACATTGGTATAATACTGTTAACTATTAGACCTTATCTAAATATCATCAGTTTTTCCACTTCTGTCCTCTGTTTCAGGATCCTCTCCAGAGCCCCACATTGCTTTCATCCTGTATTCTCTTAGAGTTCCTCAGTCTTTCTTTTGGCTACTGAACTACACAAAGCTTTTTCACAGGTTGTTCCTCCTCCTCCTCCTCTTTCCTTCTTCCCTTTCCTTCCCTCTCCCCTCCCTCCCCCCTCCCCTTCCTTTCCCTCTTCTTCTTCTTAGTGGAGTCCAGATCTCATTATGTTGCCCAGGCTGAACTCAAATTCCTGGGCTCAAATGATTCTCCCACCTTACCTTCCCAAGCAGCTGGGACTACAGGTGGACTACAGGTATACCACTATGCCTGGCTTCCCTCAGTCTTTGTGATTTTGACTGTTAAAGAGTACAGAGCGGCGGGGCGCGGTGGCTCACGCCTGTAGTCCTAGCTCTCTGGGAGGCTGAGGCGGACGGATTGCTCGAGTTCAGGAGTTCGAAACCAGCCTGAGCAAGAGCGAGACCCCGTCTCTACTATAAATGGAAAGAAATTAATTGGCCAACTAAAAATATATACAAAAAATTAGCCGGGCATGGTGGCGCATGCCTGTAGTCCCAGCTACTCGGGAGGCTGAGGCAGGAGGATCGCTTGAGCCCAGGAGTCTGAGGTTGCTGTGAGCTAGGCTGACGCCACGGCACTCACTCTAGCCTGGGCAACAAAGCAAGACTCTGTCTCAAAAAAAAAAAAAAAGAGTACAAAGCAGTTATTATGTAGACTGTCACTCAGTATGAGTTTGCATTTTCTCATTTGGGCAGGAATAACATAGTGATGCTGTGTGCTTACCAGTGCATCACATCAGGAGGCCCATCATGTTGCTGTGTCCCATTACTGAGGATACTAACTTTGACCACGTGGTTAATGGTGTCAGCTAGGTTTCTCCTTGGGGAGAAATGGTGAGACCCTACAACTATTCCTGTTTTTTATTGTATTTCTACCCATGAATTTTAGCATACATTGATGAATTTTACCTATAATAATTGTTGCTGTTATGTGTACCAAATGGTGATTTTTCTATTTCTATCATTCCTACTTCATTCATAAATTGAAATTCTGCTTTATCAAAGAGCTTTTCCTTCTCTCCTATTTACTTAATTATTCAATTATTTATATATATCAGTATGAACTCATGGATATCAGTTTTACAGTATGAGTTATTCCTTATCCATTATTATCATTATTTAGTTGCTCATATTGTCCCAGTTTGGCTGTTTAGCTCCTTCAAGTTGAGTCCCTTTGAAATGCTCCCATCATTTTTTGAGCCCTTCCTTTCTGGAACTGTAAGGTGTTCCAGAAGAATCTACTTTCCCTGCTTCAGCCCTGGAATTAATTATTTTACTTCTACCATAACTCCACTTATGTTAGATTCATATTTCACTTTTGCTGCACTTTTATCTTGGCCAATTTCCTCATTCAGTTTTCCTTTATAAAATTATTTTACTTTTCCAGGGAACCCCCTGGTTCCTTCTGTTGGAGAATAGTATTTGGAAACAAAGATCTGGTCACTTAGGTATTTGTGACCAGATCATTACTACGAGGTATCATTGCTTCTAGGCTTTCTCAGCTGGCAGAGCTAGGAAATGTATGTGTGTGTACACATATGCATACACATGTACATCTACACCTATATATTATATAAAAATCATGAGCTCGCATGGATTTTTCTGATTTTAGTCTGTAATCACAGGCTTCCTTCCCTTCTTATTTGTAGCTTTTTTTCTGTTATAGTAGAAAACATGGCTGTGATTATCCACAGTGTATCTACTTATTTGCTCAATCCAAGAAAACACATTTGTTTCAGAATTGCTAGCCCACATCTCTGTGATTAAGAAAAATTTACAAACTATTATGCAATATTTGTTTGTAGTTCTGTATATTAAAATGTCTTTAGACTTAAAATAGTCAGAAGACTATTTTCCTAAGTTACTTAGGTTAGTTCCTTTCTTCCTCACCTTATTCAGTGTGGTTATGTTATTCATAAATAGGGTTTTTTTATAATGAACATTTTGATAAAATATGTCTACCTAAATTTTTTAAAATGGGATATTACTTATCCCATTGTTACCTGGGAAAACAGAGCTACTGTCAACGACCAAATGTGAACCAGCACTCAATCTTTGAGAATAACCTAGTTGATGATGCAGTTTGTTCCCACCAGAAGAGCTGTGCAGAATTAAGCAGGTTTAAATTACAGACTGTTCTATTTTCTGTTGATATAACCCCTGAATGGTCTAATACTGGAGTTTAAAGTTTATCTGTAAGACTTTTGAAAGTTGGTGTTCATTCATTATTATAATGTATTTAGAAGTATGTATTCCAGCCTACAGAAAAATGATTTTTAAGTGATGCATATGTTAAGTGATGTGGATTCATTATTTTTAACACATCGACTGCCACACAAAAAAAACCCAGAAATTTTTCCTTGGAGCCACAGTGTTTTATTATGAAAGCACAATAAAAACTTTGAGTATAATCTAAAGTAAACATAAATGGAAAAAATGAAATTTATTGAGTTTTATTCATTTAATCCACATTTTTAGAATTAAATTGTCATTGTTAATTGTAACAATAAGAACATTAACAAGTAAGATTTTATATATGCTTCACATGACCTCAGGGTCAAAACTGGAGTGAGCTAAATACAACTCTCATGGCAGTTAAGTGATACAGTAGTATTTAGTATTATAGACAGTCCTTACTTTGCATGGTAGTGCATCCCATAAAAAGGACTGGGCAAGTAGAAACCATGCAAAGTGAATGAGCTTAATAAACAATAGAGAAAATTACAGTTTTTTCAAAACCTTTATACACATTTGTATCAAAACTTTAAAAATTCTACTGTCAGTTGTAAATGTATAGGCAAGTGAAAAATAGCAAAATAGTATTTACTTAATATACTGCAATTTTAAAATATTGGCAGCATTCAGAACTGAGGAATCTTATTCTTTTGTAAAAAATCTTACCAAGTGTAGTTTGAACAGAACTTGCCTCGACATATGATACAAAGTAAGCGCATTTTCTATGTCTTTGCAAGTTGTTTCACTCCTTTCTAAGTTTGGATCAGCTTTTAACTTTTCATTCTTTGAGCTTCCAATGTCATGAATACCTCTGAGGGTTCCTTTGTCAGAATTTTTTGCTTATGTCACTTCCTTGGGGCTACCTTCATCTTTTCCATCGCAGTCACTTTCTTCCTTAACCACTTCGGTACGAGCGTTAACTATAGTCGATAGCCACAGATGAACGCGCACAGCCCAGCATCGACTATAGTCGACAGCCACAGATGAACGTACACAGTGACTTTAGCTAACAGCCGTGATATGTCTTTTCTACTTTTTCATTTATCAAAATAAAAGTGTGAACATTTAAAAATAACGTAATGAAAACATATATGTATATGTTACCTATTCTGATTTACATTACAAGTAAAGCTGCCTGTAAAGTAAAACAAGCTTTCAGTGCTTTAAAGCTTTCCTCATCACACAAGAGCAAAACGGATTTGTCGTCAATGCACGGCACAAACTATCATGCGGACTATGAGTGCCGGCTATGGGCAAGGTTTTGTAGCCAGTGAGCTCTGTACCGAAGTGGTTAAAAAGATAATCTTATTGTTATGTATTCCTCTAGCTGCACATCTGGAGTCTCTTGTTGTCCAGAATCTTTTGAATGGTGGCAGGATCACCTTTCCCATAGTCAGCTACTTGGTCTGTAACTCCACTTACGGTAGATTCAAATTTCATTTCTTGTTTCTTTGCTGTACTTACATCTTGGCCAGTTTCCTCTTCCAACTGTCCATTTTTATAAAATATTTTATGTGAGTTTATCACTGGGAGATGAGGAAGCCACACAACTACAGTCTCTGCTGTCTGTGTCTGAACTGAATAACAGATGCGCAGTGAACTAGTCACCAGTAAACTTTGAAGAAGTGCTGTGATTGATCACTGACCATGGCAACATCTGTTATTTACATACTGATCTGGAGGGTAGAGGTGGCAGTGAAGTTATACTTGATACAGTTGTTCACAGCTCACATACCGAGGTTACTAAAACTTGAGTGTGTCTGAACTGCATGAAGTTAGGCTGCCTGTCTATAACTTGGAAGTGTACAAATGTTTGACAATGATATTTCCCCCATTTTATGACATTTGAGAAATTAAACAATTAAAACTTTTTATATGTTGTAAAATAGGTGGTGAAACATTTTCTTTCAATCCCTGGTTATCTATCCCTCCTCCCCTGCCCCCCAGGTACATTTGGTTTTTAGGGGTGGAATGAGTTCAGGTAGCAGTGGTGCACTGGGAACCTCAATACCAAGTTTGGCTTAAGAACCCGGAATTTACCCTTAGTTTAGCTTGAAGGAAAGACTGAATGCCAAATTCCGTTTTGTTTCTCTACTTAGATTGATATAGAAATCAATGGCAATGCAGTGGATCTTCATATGAAATTAGGTGACAACGGAGAAGCTTTCTTTGTGGAGGAGACCGAAGAGGAATATGTAAGTTCTTGTGGATCATGCTCTCCTTACACTTTGTGCTCAGGCCTCCTGTGCGTGTCCCAAATGGGAATGTTCTGCAGTTTTCATGGTCAGTTACACACATCACTGTTGCTGGCTAGACAAGCTTTAGATTCAGGCTGAAGAACTAAGTTGTCAAAAAGGAGCTAGAGGAATGAGAAACTTTTCTCCATACCAGTTTCAGGGTACAAAGAGCGTACAGAAAGCCTTTGTACATGCTGCTTTGGTAAGGGAAGGCATATCTCTAACTTCAATGAGCTTTCTTAGCGTCTATTACTGTTCACACCTTGACTTGAATACATTGTGTTCTATCTAAGTAATTAAGACATATCTCTTGCTGTGCGTTATGACCTTTAAACTTGAAAATCTTGTTTACCATTTTGGTAGGGATATTGTATCTCTAACCTTGAATAGTCACGTAAATTAATTTATTGTGGTCTCAAGAGATTTAAATTAATTGGCCTATATCCTTTTATAAATGATTACATGTTTGGCTTCTTTCAGCAAGAGAGCACAATTTGTCATGTCCTCCCTGTCCCCAATACATACTGTGTTTCTATCAATTTGAATAGTAGTGAATTATTCTTTTTTTGTATATAATTTATAATTTTATATAAAAAGATCCGACATAACACAGCGGGGGTACTCAGGAGACTAGCGTATCCCCATGAATGCCAGCAATATGGTTAGATTCATACAGGTTTTTAATAATCACAGATATCAATTACCAGTTGTCAGGGCAACATATTTGCATAACAGGGAATGCAGTTGCTAGGGGATACAGGGCTAGGGTCAAAAGTCCTCTCAAGGGGCTTCTAATCTATCTAGGTGAACAAACAGGTACAAAGTCTTTCAGGGGCTAACTTCTAAGTTCTAAGAGGTAGTTGTCAATTAACAAAGGTATAACAAAAGAGGTATAGTGACTCTATATTCTTTAGTTAGTTATGGTGGACTTCAAGGTAGATAGACAGGAGAGAGTAGGAAGCCCATCTCTATAAAACAGGTTTTTTATAAGCACCGGGGTGCATCTCTGGGCAAAGGTCACTCATTGTCTCCAGCTCCCATCCTATGGGCCATATTTGCCTTGTCTTGTCTTTCAAGACACAGGGAAGCTCACAGATTTTGAGATTCCGGGAAGCCTTCCTGGAAAACATCCCTGCTGGAGATTTGAGAGCCCTCCCATGATAGCAGCTTCTAACAAGTGAACCATTGAGTCCACGCATTCCTTCAGGGCAAAACCTTGCAAACTCCTGTTTCTGTCTTTAATATAGTAATATAAGGTTATGCAATAAAATAATAATCTTATGAGCCACATTTCATTAATTCCTCAATCATATTTTTCAACATAGGAGTTGGGCCATTCTCCAATATAGATAACTCTGAATAATTACTACATTAATGAACACTGGCATAACATGGAAAAATAAAGTATGGCCATAATCCAAATAACATATTTCCATTCATTCATTCATTATAATTTTTATTCTTAAGCTTTAAGTTATAACTTATATTTGCACTGGACTTTTGATTTTAAGAATTTTTTTAAAGCATACTTTGTTGTAGATAGGGTTAGCTACATTACAGAAACAAATAGAATCTTCAAAATTCAGTTTCTTAAAGAACAAAAAGTTTATTTCTTTGGTCCAGAGCAGGAGTCGCACATTAGCAGCAGCTCTGCTGGATGATGCCTTTCAGGGACCCAGGCTGACATTGGCTCTGCAATTTTCAACATGATGCTTGTAAGATTCCCCTAGACATTGCCATCCCTGTCATTTAGAACCTGTGAAGAACGTTAAAGAATGTTCATGGGAGGGTTTTATGAACCAGGTCTGGAAGTGGCATATGTCACTTCTGCTCCATTCCTTTGCTATAAACTTAAATCTCATGTCAGGGAAATCTGATAGACATATTCTATAGCTATGTGTTTCAGTCCCAGCTTTATTTGTATACAGTATGGAAGAGATCTTGCTGGATAAGTTTAGCTGCGTGCATTATGTCAAATAGCAAAACTGGTGAGCATAAAGTTAACTAAGGGTGCAGGACTATTTTTTTTGGATTTGAAGATGGACTGCCAGTTTGGTGTTACAGATTCATTTTAAAAATCAAACAATTGCAAAATGAGATTATGTTTATCATTTTTGAGTTTAGAGAAGCCAACAATGTTGGTACCGGTATACAAAGCAGCGTTGAAACAGTATGATATATGAAGTAGACCCTTACCAGACTGGTGCTTTTCTAGTATTACTTGTTTTCATATTTTCATTTACTTTGCCTAAGCAGAACTTTTCCTCATCAGAGACACAGGCAAAGAACAAAATGAAACATAATAAATGACATTTGTCACAAGAATAAAACATTTTTGATGTGTTTCTTAAAATCACATATGGTCCATAACACTGTGTAAATCAACATATACAGTATGTGAGAGGACTGGGTTGTTGACACTTTGTTACCTAGTTTTCATGGTTTATTCTGGCAATTCCATTAAAAACTATGTTTAGCAAGGTCAGCTTGGAGAATGTCAGATTTTCAGCCTTTTTTTCCTATTCCATGTAAGACCAAATTGACCATATTTCCTCTAGTATAGTGTGCTTCTCTTCAAAATAAAAAAATTGGTTAATTCATCCAAGAAACATTGGCATTACTACTCTGTGCCACATACTATAAAACACGCTCCCTACCCCTTCAAGAGTTCATAATTTAGAAGAAGATGAAAATTATTAAAAATGTATCTGGCTGTCATTTATTTGCTTTTTGTTTCTCTCAAACTTTTATCATTTAACTGTATGTCATTAATGTCTCTTTCAAGTCAGTAGTTATGGATCTAATTCTGTCCTTTTAATAGCTGTACAATATTTCATAGTATGGATATACCATAATTTATCCAACCATTCTCTTATTAGTAGACATTCAGGTTATTTCCAACACATAAACATTGCTATAATAGAACTAGGAAATACCACCAGAAACAAAAACAGCTTTCAAGAAGTAAAGTAAACAGATTATTGAATTAAAAGACCACAGCCTCTCATCTTGGTGCCTTGGGGACATGTATATTGCTGGTGAACACAAATTTCTCCTAGGTAAATAAAACTTCATTCGGCTGTGGGGTGACATATTTATCAAAGCCAAGTTCAAAAGCTTTATAGAAAATAATTATGGAAACCTACACATTTTAAAGACTATTGTGTAAAAACTTGAGTGTTCTAAATTTTCTGAGGTTAATTTATATCTCTATTTTGTATCTTCCATTTTCCCCAATGATAAAAAGAAATGAAAGAAATGGTTAAGATATTAATTTACTGAATACCAGACTTGCTCATTCATTCACTGTTAGATTAGGAGTTTAATTACTTTTAAATATTAACCTTTACTTTTTTCTTTTGAATTCTTAAAAGGATATATTAAATACTTTATGGTTTAAAAAATTACTGATATCATTTGTTATAGGACATTGTCTCAATCCTCAATTAATTTGGCAAAACATGAGCATTGACCACTCTACATTCACCATATTGCTCTGCTCATTTACCTGTCTTGCTGCCCTTTGTCTGATGCAGTGTCCTTAATGTCTGCCTTGTGCTTTATCCTGTTCTTATTGCTCTCGGAAAGTTCTTAACAGAGTCCTTTGTAACACTTCCTTGGAAATGCTGTTGCTGCTTTGACCTTTTCTTTGCAAAGAATTTAATTGGCTCTGCTTTAATTATAACTCTGGGGTGTTCCACATGGATGCGACACATCAGTTCCTCCAAGCATGCTCAGTTACATGTCCCGAAATGAGCAACCATTTAGCTGTGTTTAACAGCATAAAGACCTACCCAGAGTAGAACAGGCAGTGTAACTTTCTTACCTTTAGGAAATAAGTATTTTTTTCTACCACTGTGAAAATTTATATGCTCAAAATGTTAATTATTGTTTTGATTCACTGTCCAGTTTGTCATGGATAACTTTTCTTTCTCCATGTTCTCCTTAAGGAAAAGCTTCCTGCTTACCTTGCCACCTCACCAATTCCAACTGAAGATCAGTTCTTTAAAGATATTGACATCCCTTTGATGAAATCGGGTGGAGGTGAAAGACCATCTCAGAGTTCAGACATCTCACATATCTTGGAAACAGAGACAGTTTTCACTCCAAGTTCTGTGAAAAAGAAAAAACGAAGGAGAAAGAAATGCAAACAGGACAGTAAGAAGGAAGAGCAGGCTGCTTCTCCTGCTACAGAAGACACCTGTGATGTGGGTGTGAGCTCTGATGATGAGAAGGGTGCCCACTCGGCAAGGTAGGACTCAGCCTTGAGAAGGGTCTTGTGTGGGTACCAGGCCATCCACTCATGCTGTAGGTAGAGCTCAGGTAAAGCCAGAGGCTACCCTTTCCTTTACAGATACATAGTGTGAGATTTGGACTTGTTTTTCACCTTGATGGTTTGTTGTGGAATCAGACGGGAGAGGCATTTTCCTTGTTCTTTCTACAATTCTACAAAATTTCCCATAAGACATCCTACTATGGTACTGAAATGTCATTTGTAGCAGACTGGAGGTATCTCTGTTTTCATCCAGTTAGTTTCCAAGAGCCAAATAAATTAAAAGTCAAAAGAAGATCTTGAGTTAGTGATTTACCTTGGGTGAACAGATATAGGTGGGCACAATGTCAGGATTTCCCTACCCAGTGGTCTTGTGCTTGAGAGCTCATCTTTTCCTGAGAAGTTCAGAGTTCTGTTTTATTGAATTTATCGTCAAAATATCCTAGTAAGTTGAAGACGAAGAAGTTTCGTTTTTTTTTTAAAGTGAGAAATCTTAATCACCACTTATTTACCAGTTCAGTGGAAGAGTTCAAAATACATGCCAGTTATCAAGTTTGCACTGCCTGGGGTTTAAAGGTAACAGTTGGGAGTAGAACATATATTTTCTCATTCAAGATTCAATTTTCCTCCACCTGTTTCACTTGGTCCTCTTGGCTCTAGAAAGGACCAGTGTGTGTCAATGGGTGGTTCTCTTTGTTGGTGACCAATGGACAAGAAGCTGCTGCCCAGAGTGGCTCTGCATTTCTAAACCCTTTATTTGAAGTGGGGTAGATCCTGGTCCACTTGTATGTTTTCACCTCAGCTGCTGAAAAGAGAAATCATGCCCTACTTCCTGAGAAAAGGAGTGCTGTTAAAGTGTTTTTCATTATAGAAAAGAGGAGAAATAATTTCTTTCTCTAGTTACATAAACTAAATATATACCAAGAGTAAACTCTACCTTAATCTAGTATGTGTTTTATTTACCAATTTTGCTTTAAATGGTCAAGTTAAGGAAAAAGTTGTTAATACATTACTAGTATAATTATACTACATTAGTTAATAAGATAGTATATTAATAAAGCCCTCTTTGGCAACACTTTTAACTCATTTTCTAAAATTTTGAAATCTGGATTGTAGATCCTAGAATAAAATTCCATATTTGGCAGTAATTTTTAATACATGAATTTTTTTTCTACCCATCTTGTTTTATTACTAACTGACATGTCTGTGGTATTCCTTTTCACTCCTCCAACACTGAACATATTAGACTTTGATTTCAGTTCTGATAGAATGCAAATTCCTCTGTTAGAACTAAACAACAGAAGATGGAAAGCAATCACTGAAAAAGTACATTAGGCTCTGAATTATACCTATAAAATTTTAAAATCCTAAATCAACAAATTTGGGTAATTTGTCAGTATCAAAATACTAGCTGGGAAGACTAATTATAAATGTTCTAAGTTCTTCTTTTATATATTTCAATAATTGCCAAAGAATTTTAAGCTAATTAAAAAGTACCACAATTTCTGAAAAGGAGACTTTCCTGTTTTTTTTCCCTGCTTTCAGTCTCTTAAAGGTTATTTATTCTTCCCTTGCCTAAGAGAATAAACTATGAGCATCTTCGATATTCTGCTTGATTTCAAGACTGCTAAAAACATTGTAAACAATTACTTTAAAAGTTTTGTATGTATAGTAAAATGTGTAGGTGGGCAAGAAATGTGTATTATTTCAAGAAAAACTTGAAATACTTACACATCTAAATTTTTCATGGGTTAGCATTGTAATGTTCTCTTAAGTGCTTTATTCCTGAAAATATTTTCTCAATTAAAATTCTTTCAAGATCTACCCAAAAAAAGGTAAAGTAATGCTTTTGCCTCTAAAGTTTTATTGACATGTGTCCTTTTTTAACATAATAATGAGCAAAATTTAAAACTCTGAACAAGAACAACCTGCAGCTTCAACTTGGAAAGTTATTATAAAATGTATAAAACACATGCAAAGTACCCTACCTACTGAATGCACAAAAATCATTCTAAAGGTATTTTGTAAATAGGTGTTGTAAGTCAGTGAATGCATTGCCAGAGATTGTGTGAGAAAGGCTGTATCAACCAAAGCTGCTGGTGTACCAATTTGGTTGACAGTTATGAATGTTACCAGCCCATCTCTAAGCTAGCACCTTACTTGCCTGGTGAGCAAGTCTGTCATAACACACGTAAACTAGGGCCTTGCAGGAGCTTGGTAGTTTGCTTTCTCTTTAGATGAATTATAGATGTTACCCACTTGGAAGAACTCTTTTCTGAAATTTCCTTAAAATAGAATCTGCTTAATTATGCAGCCAGCAGAAATCAGAACTTTTTTTAAAAAGAGGACAAAATGTGTAAACAGTTGTGAGTTCAAGTCATATTCTGAATTAAGTGTTAGCTAAAAGGTAGACTGGCCCATTATAGATTGTGGAACAGTAGCCCTCTTCATCACTCAGGGCCTTGGTTTCTTAATCTATGAAATAAGAGGATTGAACTACATGGTTTGCCAGGGCCTTTTCAGCGTAGCATTTAGATTCTAAAGGTATCTGAGGGAAGGTATTTAGGGTTGTTAACAGTGAATTAAACAGTATGTTCAAGAATCTGAGAGAGAAAGAATAGGAAGTCTATTGCTTTTGCAGTTGTGAGGTCTAGGAATTATGTGGAATTGGGGAATCTGCACCTTTCATATATCTTACTACCCTCATCCCCTACCACTTAGGAAAGAAATTCTGTTTCCAGAGAAGATACATAAAATAGGTTTTTATTTTATTTCGATAGATGGCATTGTATTTAAACTCTTTTCAAGAATTTTATTGATAATAGAATTAAGGTTGATTTTGAGGCTCCTTAAAGGAGGCAAATGAAAGAGGGACTCATTCTTTAAAGCAGGTTGCTGTTGCACAGCTGGAAGAAGCTCATTTCTGGACATTGGAGAGCTCTAAGCTACAGGGCTTGGTTTAAACTGCACTAGTGAGTCTCTCTGTTCCAAAAGATGGACTTTTGGTTTGAAGATAGTGTGGAAGCCTTTTTTGTCCTTCTGGAGGGTGGATGGATGTGTGTACTAAGAACATTGCACCCAGACATTAAGTAGCCTTTTAGAGGGAAGAGACTTTTCAGATTAGATTGTGTTTTAGCACAATCTTCAGTGCGAATATACAAAACATAACACTGATGGAAATATTTCACATACCCATCAATAGTAATAATGGAGGATCAAGACCAGACCATCAAAAAGAAATATCAACTTTTAATCCACTAAAGGAGACTTGCTTAAACAATTATATCTGGAAGCTGAGTCCAGGGAGCTTAAAACTTCTCACAGACAGCATCTGTTGCCCCAAGGCTACCTACTTCATTTCCTGATCAGTAACTGGCTTCTAGAAACCCACCCTCCAAGTTGTTCTGGGGTAAGTATAGATATTCAAGGTGGCAAGGATCTCCCAGGCACACCCTGCCTTTTCTCCCCTTCATTTCATACACAGCACACAGAGAGAAGCATTGGTCCACTCATCCTGTTAGAAGGGATATCTTTTCTGGGAAATGTCCTATATTCAAATGCTAATTTAGGTCATTAGCCACACTGAAATTCATTAATACTGTGCTAAGGTTGCTGATAAACATATTGTTAAGAAAGTTAGTGATCTTTGGTCATAGTAGTTAGCAACCCCATGTATCTCTTACTACCAATTAAATAGTTTAAAACTCATTTGTACCTATAATTTATCTCACATAATTAATTTAGGTTATTTATTTTAGCTTTCTATTGATCTTCCCCTCACTTTAAAAAAATTGAGGTGCTATTTACATCCAACACTATTCACAGATCTTAAGTGTACAGTTCAGTGAATTTTGGCAGTTGTATGTATCCTAGTAACCTGTTAGCTTTTGAATTGGAAAAACGTTGGCTTACAGAATGATGCCAAGTTTGAAGACAGGATGTTGAGGCATGTCTCTGAAAGCTGAGGTGCCCTGCACATGCTGACTGTGAACTCCAGCAACTGGAAGCCCTAGCCCTGACTTAGAGTTAAACTGTTTGTCTCTTCTGCTCAGTGCTGATGTTTATATTAGCACTCCTGTGTTTTGGCACAGATAGAATCAGCATTTATGCTATTTTCTTCACATTCTACTATGTATGCTCCCATATAGCCTCATGTCCAGTGCTTGGTTTAAGTTGCTCTGTGATGGTCTGCCTCACTGGTCACTGTTCTCAGGCATATGTGCCATTTTGAAAGTGCTTACAGGTTTAGAAGTCCTATTTTAATAGGAATCATAAGACTGAAAGGAGCCTCAACATAAGAAACCTTTTCTGTCAGTCTAATAGGCCTAGACCAGGCATCCTCAAACTACGGCCCTTGGGCTACATGCAGGCCGCCTAGCACATTTTTCTGGCCCTCCAGGTGTTTTTGTCACCACTGCCTATCCTGCTTAGCAGCCGATTCGTCCCAGGCCCACAGTGCGCGCTCTCCAGTGGTCTGAGGGACAGTGAACTGGCCCCCTGTTTAAAAAGTTTGAGGACCCCTGGCCTAGACTAATGGGCTCTATTTTTGTTAGGATATGCCCAGAAAAGGCTATCATGTCTTTCTGGGGTTGTAAACTCTTTATGGTACCTGATGTCGCTCTCTTTCAGTTTTATTAAATGCTATTTGTTTTGCCTAATTCTTCTTGGCTTACCTTTTATACTGCAGTGAAATGTGTTCCAAAAGTAAAATATTTTCAATATAAAAATTTCCTTTAAAAGAAATTTATGTGGCTTTTACATTGTTCTTTTCAGACCACTTTCACATATATCAATAGTGACGGGTTGAGCTGATGTATCCTTTCAAATTGGACAAATAAGAACCATTCCTAGGCATCTGATTTTCCCTTTCCTATGGGAAAATTTATCTTTTGATTTTCCTTTATTAAGAAATGGAGTATTTTTTCCTAGGTACCTGCCTTTCTCAGGTGTGTTTTTCTTCCCTTGAATGAGGTTGTATG